TGCAGCGAAGAAGAAATATTTAAAGGGAGAATTATTATACTGGTGTTATCATCATCATTGTCACTTTAATCATCATTATCGTATTGATTATTGTTAGCACCATCATTGTCATAATTACTTTTATGAAGATGAAGATTTTGATAATGATTGTGGTTATTGTTGTCATTATGAGTATTGTTATCATCATCATTATCATTATCAACATAATCATTGTTACCATCATTATTATTATTATCCTTATTACTATCGTCATTACTATCAGCATTATTATCATTATCATAATCAATATTATTATTATCATCATTGTTATTATTAATCGTTATCATTATTATTATTATAATCATTATTATTAGTAGTAATGGTTCTTTGTCTATTATCACAATTGTTATTATCATTACTTTATTCTTTATTACTATTACTATTAGCATCATTATTGTTATCATCATGATCATTATTGTAATCATAATTTTTATCATCATTTTATTATCATTAGTATTGTTATTAGTGTTATTCTCATTGTTGTTGTTATCAACATCATCATCATCATTATTGTTATTTTTATAATCATCATTATTATTATAATTATCGGATCATAATCTTTAAAATTGTTATCATTAATATAATAATCATCAATAGCAGTCCTATTACTAACATTATCATTACTGTTAACATTGTTATATCTACTATTAACTCCATCATCAAGCATTCTATCATCATCATCATCATCATAATTACTCTGCTCCTTATCATCAAGGTCACCACTAATGTCATTACCATCTTCATTAATCAACAATAATACATTTCCTCACACTGATAAAAATAGGCAATCACTTTTATAGCTACGTTGATTAATTTCCTACTTAATAGAAAGCATTCAGCCAATTGTAGAAACGCGGCAAACAATATCTATATAAAGAAAGAAAGAAAGAAAAGAAAAAAAGAAAAAGAAAGAAAGAAAGAAAGAAAGAAAAAAGAAAAAGAAGAAAGAAAAAAGAAAGAAAAGAAAGAAAAGAAAAGAAAGAAAGAAAAGAAAAAAAAGAAAAAGAAAGAAAAGAAAAGAAAAGAAAAGAAAAGAAAGAAAGAAAGAAAGAAAGAAAGAAAGAAAGAAAGAAAGAAAGAAAAGAAAAGAAAAGAAAAAAAAGAAAGAATAAAAAGAAAAAAAAAAAAAAAAATAAAAGAAAAAAAAAAAAAAAAAATATATATATATTATATATATATATATATATATATATATATATATATATATATATATATATATATATATATATATATTACCCGTTCAGTATCTAAAACGATACTGTATCTTCTCTGTTGTTGATCCGATGAGGAGGACTTCGCTAAATTGCAAGGTTTGTTTAACGTCTTGTGTTGCTGCGATGTTGTTTGTTCTCATTCTCTGTCTGTTTTGTTTGTTTGTTTGTTTTCTCAATCTCTCGCTTTCTCACTCGTTCTTGCTCTCCCTCTCTGTCTGTCTGTCTGTCTGTCTGTCTGTCTCTCTTTTTTCTCTCTCTCTCTCTCTCTTCTCTCTTTCTCTTCTCTTTCTCTTCTCTTTCTCTCTTCTCTCTCTCTCTCTCTCTCTCTCTCTCTCTTCTCTCTCTCTCTCTCTCTCTCTCTCTCTCTCTCTTCTCTCTCTTTCTCTCTCTCTCTCTCCTCTCTCTCTCTCTCTTCTTCTCTCTCTCTCTTCTCTCTCTCTCTTTCTCCCTCTCTCCCTCTTCTCTCTTCTCTCTTCTCTCTTCTCTCTCTCTCTCTCTCTCTCTCTCTCTGCTCTCTCTCTCTCTCTCTCTCTCTCTCTCTCCCTCTCTCTCTCTCTCTCACTCTCTCTCTCTCCCTCTTCTTCTCTCCTCCTCACTCATTCTGTCTCTGCTCTCTCTCTCTCTCTCTCTCTCTTCTCTCTCTCTCTCTCTCTCTTCTCTCTCTCTCTCTCTCTCTCTCTCTCTCTACTCTCCTCTCTCTCTCTCTCT